CGTGTCCGCACCTCGTCGTGTCCGCACCTCGACGTGTCCGCACCTCGTCGTGTCCGCACCTCGACATGTCTGCTTGAGCGTGAACTGTCCAGAGTTAATGTTCCCTGATCAGAACCTGTGCTCCCAGTGCTCCCAGTTCATGTTTGAGACTCCATCACAGTTCACACAACAAACACTATCACTCACAGATAAGCTACAGTCGTGTTTAAGAGTCGGGTTTTTACCAGCAGCACCTGTTTCGGCCCATAACTAACTGGGAGGGGAATCGGAGCTGATGGGGTTCAGTATGTTCTGTGACAGCTGAGCAAGTCTCAAACTGGTTTTCTGGACTGGTCTGATGAACACACAAATTGACGGTCAGGTTTGAAGACCAAGTTTCTATCAGACTACGAAGGTTCTTGTGTTTTCTTGTGCTGGTCGTTGGCTTCAGACTTCATGTCCACTCATGGTTTGCTGGGGTGCCACCATTCCTCTTCCCATCACCCCCTCTCAGGTGAACCCTGCAGAGGACTTGAGTCAGAGCTGATCCCAGGACAGCAGACATTTGTCCTCTTATGAGACGACGTGGACCAGAGACAGTCCAGCTGCAGACATGCTGCGTGTCTCAGACCTGGGCTTCATTCCTGCCTGTGGACCACCCCTCACTGGTCTGCTGGGAGGAGCTGGACCACCCCTCACTGGTCTGCTGGGAGGAGCTGGCAGGTATTTCAGGTGTCTCTGTAGAAAATGTTGCAAAATGTATTTATTTCTCGTTTGTTCCACTGCATCCTTTTCATGTTTACACTTCATGACCGCTGTTTCCTTTACACCCTGACACTTTGCTGCTGTTTTAATACGTCCTGCACGAAGGATGAGGATTGTTCCACATTTAGGAAGTTTCTTTCTTTTGATAATTAGTTTTTATACTTTGTGTTTAGAAACGTTGACGCTTCCTGACGTGTTTTCTTCCAGTTCTGTAAAGTGTGCTGTGATGGACAGTTAGTTGGATGATGAATGCATTTTGTTTCCATCAGCTAGTCATGTTTAGACCATCTTTTACTCACTTTGTGATGTGTCTAACAGTCCCCTCTTTTAAAGTAACCCACGCAACAACAACAATAAGCTAAAGTGAAATGACATTACTTCATCTTCCATTAGAATATAAATCTGCTTAAATCCTAAAAGTTCCTCTGCTCTGCTGTGTTCAACCCGATTTCATCTAAAGACTCAGTTCCTGTTCTAGACACACAGCTGACTGGTTTGGAGCTGCAGTGGTTTCTGACTCCAGATCAGTGTTACTCTGAAACTTTGAAGGTAGCAGACTCTGGATCAGAGGATGCTGATTACCCAAACTGAGTTATTTTTTGTTTGTTTCGTGTTTTCTCCCTGCTGGACTGAGAGGCAGCAACCAGACCTGCCACGGGTTTGGACCTGCAGGGGACGCTGTGGGTTCAATGCCCACTGTGAATGTGCCTACCTGTAAATAGTAAACGTGAGCGACTGTGACTTGAATCTGATGCTACGTGCGTGGGCTGATCTGCCGATGCAGTTCTGTTTAATAAATGATTTCCTTTTTCTAACGAGGCTCATCTGGATTAATGTTGACATTTTACTATGTAAACCGCGGCTGTGGCTGAGTGGTTAGAGCAGCCGTCCTCCAATGCAAGAGTTGGGGGTTCAAATCCACCAGTAGTCACATGCTGAAGTGTCCCTGGACAAGACACTGAACCCCTCGTATACCTCCGATGAGTGTCCCATCAGTGTATGAATGTGATAAAGTAGCTATGTTTACATGTGCAAAATTCTTTGACTGGATTGAAATGTTTTCAGATTAAATAATTCAAATGTATTGTTTACATGGACTCAATCTGTTCATGATGAGCGTTTACATGCAGCGGGCTTTGTTCTGAACAGCAGTACTGACATGTGCAGAGCGGTAAACTCTCCTTAAAAAAAAACACAGAAGAAGAAGTTCTACTTCCGGTTTACTTCCAGGATGAACGTAAACAAACCTGAGCACCAAAATGGACTCGCGACAGGTTTTAATGATGGTGGAGACGTTGCTGCACTCCCTGACTGAGCTACAGGTGATACACAGCATTTTGAGCTCTTTCAGAGTTTCTAGTAGAAATGTTGTCGCTCACCGACCAGTTTTACTTCCCCGACATGCTAACATTATTAGCATTAGCCAGGCGGAAATGACATGGGTCACACATGCGCAGGCAGATCAATTTTTCATGATCAGATAAAAATTAACAGATTAAGTTCAACATTTTTCAGTCGGGTCATCTGGACAGTTTCTTTTTTTGTGCTGAAACGTTTCACCTTCCATCCAGAAGGCTTCATCAGTCAAGGAAACAGGAAACCCAAAACTGATTCTTCCCCAACAGCTTACTCCAAAGTGGAACAAACCTGTTATGTTGGTGCTAAGATGGTCTCTTTGTTACGCCCCCTCCTCCATTGCCGGCCCTCTTCCTTGTTGACAGTCGTGTTGAAAACAACAAAGTCCATGCTCAATAATCCAGGTATACAATCCAACAGTTTTTAGTCGGGTCATCTGGACAGTTTCTTTTTTTATTCTGAAACTACTAGCTACTCCAGATGACTTAACTGAAAAATGTTGGATTGTATACCTGGATTATTGAGCATGGACTTTGTTGAACAGATCAAGTGTTTACATGCGCACCGTTCAGGTTATGAATCGGCATAAACCACCCGTTTCGTTCTGATCACAAATTATTAAGGATCACGCTGAATAAACAAAAAATAAAGGTGTTTACACAACACATTTTTATTCCAATCGGCTATTTGATCTGATTACTTATGTCCATGTAAACATATGTTTGATGTCTCAATAGAATGATTTGTTCCATTAGCTTTATAGAGATCTATTAAAGTCACACAGGTTGAGGGTCGGGGGGTCCTCCCCAAGAAAATTTTGAATAAAGTAGATGCCATTTCCTGCATTCTGGTGTATTTTAACGGGCTGTTTAACATTTAATTTTTCCTACATAAGTAATACTTGATTCAATAACTATTATAGAGTTAATGGCACAACAAGAAGTAGCTTGACCAACAGCTCTCCTTGTGTGAATAAAGCACACTCTACTTCTCTCATGCATCCTAGCCAGTTGTAGGGTCAAGAGATGTAGCATTAACACATTATGAACAACATTCAGGAATTGTTTCTATAAGACCATTACCAAATATTTTACATGAACGGTAAGATCGTTTCGCCCATGAGGAAATGTAACACAGGTTGAGCTAACCTCGAACAAACTAACAAACAAGATAGCTGTAATGGTGGATGTAGTGAAGCTCATGGTGTTACCTGAAGCATTTAGTGAGACGTTTCTGTCTTATTAGCCAAAATTAAGGCAAAAAAGACAGGAGAAAAGAAACAAAACATTAAATTCTACGCTAATAACTTAAAATAGTTACTGCAGTAGATATTTTCATGCCACAGATCGACACAGGATAACTCAAAGTGAAATTCAATATGTAAGAATGTAAATTTTACACACTATTAAACACTGTACAAAATCAGTTTAGTTTTAACAAAGACTAAACTTGTGCCACCAGGTTACCACATATATCTACATATAAAACACACAAAAAGCACAACTAGCTTTAAGCACCTCTCTCAACCATCTGGAGAAGGTAAACACCTGTGAGAATGCTCTTCATTGACTACAGCTCAGCATTCAACACCATAATCCTCTCCAAGCTGTTTCCAAACTCCCCACACTAGGCCTGGAGAAGTCCATCTGCTGCTGGATACTGGACTTCCTCACCAACAGACCACAGGCAGTGAAAACCTGCAGTCACCTCTCCTCCACACTAGTCCTCAGCACCGGTACACCTCAAGGCTGTGTCCTCAATCCATTCTTGTTTTCTTTATTTACACGAGTGTACACCCAAACATAGCTCTAACATCCTCAAGTATGCTGATGACACCATCATCTTGGGCCTCATCACCAACAACGGTGAGTGTCTACAGAGATGAGGTGAAATCACTGACCAGCTGATGTCAGGAAAATTCCTTAAAGAACTTTACTAGTTGACTTTTTTATGTATGTGAATATTTCTGTAAAATGCCCTGAGACAACTTTGTTGTGAATTGGTGCTATATAAATAAACTGAAATGAATTGATGATAACCTCTCAATGTCAGCAAAACAAAGGAGATGATGGTGGACTTCAGGAAACAGAGTGGAGGTCACCAGCTTCAAGTTCCTGTGTTCACGTTACTGAGGATCTGTCCTGGACTTTACATACAGACACTGTGGTCGAGAAAGCCCAAAAAAAGACTACTTCCTAAGAAGACTAAAGAAGTTTGGTACAAACACCAACATCCTCAAACTTTTGTAGGTGCACTATGAAGAGCCTGGTGGCAGGCTGCATCACAGGGTGGTTCAAACCGGATTCCAAAAAAGTTGAGACACAAACAAATTGTGAATAAAAACAA